GGGCCCCGGGCCCGTCCTCTCTGCCCACTTGCCGCTGCCGCTGGGCGGCCTCCTGGTGGGCCAGCTCCTCCTCCAGCTTCCTCTCCAGCTCCTGGAGCTCCTGCACGTCCAAATTGCATGCAGCATTCATTTCTGCCCCACACAGAGGGGCAGGTGGTGAGCACAGTGCAGTTGGGGGGTGGGGTGGCAGGGGGGGAGAGGACCAGAGAAAACCCCACCTGCTCGGCCTCCCCATCCAGCCCTGGCAAACAGTGCGATGAGGCTGCCCCAGATCTCACAACCCCTGGCTTTTGCACATGCTGTCACCACCGCCCGCCCCCCCCCCTCCCCGTGGAGCCTTCCCTGCTGGCCTGGCTAATTCTGGGTCTTCCTTCCAGCCCTGGCTTAGAAGGGGTCCCTCGGTGCGAGACACAGATGCCTCCTCACGTGCCCACTCCCCACCCATGGGCATGCCTGTTACGGAATGAGTGCTCTGCCCCCTCAGAATCCAGGCGATGGAGCCCGAAGCCGCAATGGGGTGGGATCGGGGGGCGGGCCTTTGGGAAGTGAGCAGCTTTGCTGAGCTCACTGATGGCAGCGGGGCCCTGGGATGGGACTAGCGCCCTGTGAGAAGGGAGGAGACGGCGCTCCCTCTCCGCGTGTGCAGGTGTAAGGAGGCAGCGGGCTGTAACCCGGGAGAGGCCCGCACCACACACAGAATCTCCTGAAGGTAAACTATAAGCATTAGTGCGATTTCCAGGTCTCGATGCCTCAGAGCCGTGAAGCTGGGGAGGAGAGAGAGAGAGAGAGAGAGTTCAGACTGAATGGACAGATGGGTGAGGAGCAGAAAGTGGGCAGGAGCCCGAGGGGGGAGAGGAAGACACGGTCACAGCCGGGGAGGTGGACGGCGACAGCGTGAGCCGCGGTACAGACACGGGGTGCAGTTCCTTCGGCCACAGGGCCCGCTGCACCAGCCCCACCGCCTTCGTTTGCCCATCACTGCCCGTGCCCAGCCTCAGTGACTCCTCCGCACACGTTCCAGCTCCACAAGACCTGCGACGTCTTTTGTCAAACGAGGTGCACTTGGTGGTTTTTCCCAGGAGTCGTTTCTTCCAAAGCGTTTCATTCACGCTTTTCATCCTCCCAGATGCTGAACAGCGTGAAAACCATGCGGTGCCATGTGCTCCCAGGAAGTTACCTCCTGAACCCTCACCACGGCCCAGACCCGCCCACTGGCTGGTGGGGAACCCGGGTGAGCCAGGGGGGTGCCGCGCAGCCCTGCCCACCCCAGGCACACTCACGGGGCTGTGGGACTCCAGGATCTGGGCGCAGGCCGCCTTGGTCAGCGTCTCCGACTCGCTCAGCTCCTCCAGGAGCAGGTGCTGGACGCTCAGGAGGGCGGTGTAGGCCCACAGCGTCCGGGCCGCCCCGGCGGACTTCTGGAACTGCAGGGCGACCAGGGACTCGGCAAAGCGGCCCTCCTGGGCCTCCAGCTGCTGCACCCGCTCCCGCAGCAGGTCGGCGCGGACCTGAGAGGGCAGAGCCAGAAGCCAGAGGGGTCAGCGGCCAGAGGGGCAGCGAGAGCAGCCGCTTCGGAACAGCAGGCGTTAGATTTCCATCTTAAGTTCAGGACTTGATGCAAGGCCTCCAATATTTGCTAAGACGTGGGCCTGGAGTCTGCAGTTTCAGACCCCGGGGCCTCTCCGATGACACCCCACGGGGCTTTGGGGCCTGGCTGCTCATTCCACGTTGACCACTCCTGACGGTAAACCCAACCTCGCTGCCATCCGGCGCGAAACCCTCCAAGGCTCCTCATGGTAGAGGTTGTGGTTCAGGCTCCACAACCCCAGCCAAGGTCACCTGGGGGGGTGGGGTCTGTTCTGCCACCTGCACCCACACCTGCGACTTCCACCCTCACCGACGACTCACAGCCGCACACTCCATGCTCTGCCTCTGCTGATGACGGACATGTCCCCGCATCCTCAGCCCATGAAGCGTGCTCACTCTGCACGTGTGTGTCACTCTTCTCTGTGACCCCACATTCCATGCTTTCCGCCCAGGAGGACCCTCACCACACCGTTCACCCCACCAGGACACGAGCTCCCCTTGAGGAGCCGGCAGCCAAGGGGCTCAGTAACTTCTAGATGAGTGAACCCATTTCCTCCACCCCCCACCCTGGGGGCATGGCAGCCCCCATCTCCTGTGAGGCCTTGTCCCGTGGAGATGCAGGCAGCTGAAGTGACTATGTGGGCTACCCCTCAAGTTTATTTATGCAGATTCACACCTAAAATGGGGGGGCGGGGGCTAAAGCCTTCCGTATGTGCTTAAGAACGGGGACCGTGAGATTAAGGGAAGAGTGGTTCTTGAAAGCCCTTTCTTCCCCTTCTGCCTGGGAAGCTTACTTAGTGAGTCCCAGCGCCGGGAGAAGGTGCGCTGGAGGGCTCATCCGGTCGGAAAGAGCTCGGGGAGAGGGGCAGACCTGCCTTCCCATGCGGCACAAGACGGGCTCCCTGAAACAGCCCCGCTGCCCACAGCAATGAAACCGCATTTCCTGCACGTGCTGCTAAAGACCCTGATCCTACTGGGAGGTCCCAATGCCTTCCACACCAGCTGCCCTGGGGACACTCCTCAGAGAGCAAAGCAACAGAACAAAGGGCAGGCACAGAGTGAGAAAAGAAAAACATGGTTTAAGAAAAGTTCCAGAATTCCAAGGTTGGCCAAACTCTCTGTCCTGTAAGGGGCAGATTAAAGCACGGCAGCCTTAAACACTGCCAACTGTCCGATCGCCGTGTGCCCTTCCCTAGGACACTCCCAGAGGGGGTGCGTCATTCAAGTAAGAGACATTGGGAAAGCGGGTGAGGGAGTCCCAGCGTGACGCCGGAGGGCTGTGCACAGGCTCCGTGGGCACCGTGCGGGCGGGGGCGCAGCAGGCACAGGCGACGTCCTCCCGACCACGTGCCCCAGGGGACATGGCCTGTGTGTGGTCCCGGCAGGATATCTGGTCAACTGTCAAGAAGTGGATGGAAGGATGGATAACTGTACAGAAAAGTAACCAGGAAGAAACCAAAGGATAAGAACAACTCCAAGAAAAACAAAAGGCTGCACAGGGGAGAAATGAATCTTGGTTTTTACGTGGCCCAGATGTGAATGACATTTAAATCATCATCACAACAGCCATCTGAACTACGGATCTAATTGCATTGGGAGTTGGGGGACAGGAGGCCCGTGTGTTTGCAGGTTGAAAAAAGGTAGCTAAATCTTATCTCCCATAAAGAAAGCAAATAGATTATGCCAAAGGCAAGAAACGGAGAAACAGCAAGACATGGGGTCAACATGAAAAGGTCAAGCTAAAAACTGAAGAGTCGTTACCTCTGGGGATTTAGAAACGGGTGTGTCTGTGGCCACAGTAGCCTCTGTTTTTGAAAGCACAAACCCTGTAGAGCAGTGGTTCTCAACCTTCTGGCCCTTTAAATACAGTTCCTCATGTGGTGACCCAACCATAAAATTATTTTTGTTGCTACTTCATAACTGTAATGTTGCTACTGTGATGAATTGTCATGTAAATATCTGATATGCAGGATGGTCCCAGGCGACCCCTGTGAAAGGGTCGTTCGACCGCCAAAGGGGTTGCGACCCACAGGTTGAGACCCGCTGCTATAGATCTATTTGGCTCTTGAAAAGCATGTGTGCACAACGCAAGAGCGTGAAAAGTAGAATTTTCTAGTGGACAACGTAAAAAAAGTTACTGCAGTGAAACCAGGCAGACAGCTGTGGTGCCGTTCAGCCTGAAAGGTGGGCGTGAACTCGGGGTTAGAACGGGAGGCTGAGGCTGATGGTGAGGACTTGAACCCTGTGCCCAGGGGTCTGGATTTTGTTTGGGGGCAGAGGGAAGCCAGAAGATCTCCCTCCCAACTACACTGCGTCCGTCGTAGACCACCTGGACAGAGGCTGCCTCGGGAGAAAGCGGGGGCAGGAGACGGGGAGAGACCCGTGGGATGGATGGATGGATGGATGGATGGACGGAGCCACCCTCTTCCTAGAGCACCTTCCCTCCCACACGCCTGCTAGTCCACGCTGCTCCCTCTTGTGAGGTCGTCCAAAAACGAGCACATTATCCTCACGCTTGAAGTCTAGTCACTTCTGAAATGACGCAGGGGTGGCAGCCACCTCCATGTGATTGCCAGGGCAGCGGAGGCGTCACAGCAGGACGGCGGTGCTGGCAGCGGCTGTGGCGCTGAATGAAGGACCGTTAATGAGCCGTGCAGGCCTGGCTCATCCTGGGACCGGCACGCGGGGACTGCATAACGAATGAGAGCTCGGACGTGTGGCAGACATGCCACCCAGGCGCAGGGCAACGCCATTAAAATCAGCCGGAAAGAGCGGGTGAGTGGGGAATGCGGGCATGTCATTTTCACTCACATTTAAATGCTGTTGAGGAATATTTATGAGAAATGTAGATGTGCCTTGTGCACAAACAGCAGGAGACTACCGCACAGACGCACTGAAGTCGCCCCTTCGTTTCTGGGTTCATCAAGCAGATCCGCTACCTGAACACAGGACCTGCCTGTAGGCCCCTCCGCCCGCCAGCTGCGTGACCGTGGCCAGGCCTCTCCGGGCCTCAGTGTTCCCAGCTGTGAAGTGGACGCAGCAGTAGCTGCTCTGCGAGCCTCGCTGCAGAAGGCTGTGGGATATGGGCAGACTCCCCAGGTCACTGCAAATAGGAAGGCACTGGAAAGCCTCAGGGCTCCCTGACGGAGGGCTGGCTCAGACCTCTGAGGACCACACGTGCTGTGCAGTGCGATGCTGAGAGAGACACAGGAGGAAGCCCTGCACCGAGTGGAATCCTCCCGTTTCAGTCCTGCATAAAAAGCAGGCGGATGGGCGGATGGGCGGGTGGGCACGCAGACAGGTTTCGGCAGATGGACAGAACATTTCTAGTAGCTGGAAAGCTAACACGAGCCACATAACCTGTGTTGTGTCTGCGCTGCCTCTCAGGACAACGCCATTAAAGCTGTACCTTCCTCCATCAACTCCGAAAAGGCAGGAAGCGCACGCTGGTCTATCCGTCCGTCTGCCTGTCTGTCCTTCCTCCCCAAATCATACACAACCATTCATTCAGGGAAGGGCTCAGGTCGGTCAGGCGGAAGGGACGTGTGACGGCAGGATGTGAACTCCAAGATGCCCAGGCGCACAGCGGCCGCTCTCTGAAACCGTGAACACGCCAAGGGCGTGGATCTGGAACAGCACGTAGGTCCACCGTGGCCCAGAGAGCACGCCCCGAAACGCCCCTGTCCGTGCGCGCGCTGATGGCGGTCTGTCACTTTAAGGCAGTGGTTCTCAAACTGTGGGTCGCAACCCCTTTGGCGGTCGAATGATCCTTTCACAGGGGTCGCCCAAGACCATCCTGCATATCAGATATTTACATGACGATTCATCACAGTAGCAACATGACAGTTATGAAGTAGCAACGAAAATAATTTTATGGTTGGGTCACCACATGAGGAACTGCATTTAAAGGGCCAGACGGTTGAGAACCACTGCTGTAAGGGCTTCTTGCCCCCCTCCCCAGCTAGAACATGTGCGCTGTGAGAGCAAGGACTGAGCTCATCAGCAGAGCCTGGGGCATGGCTGCCTCCTCGGACACAAGAGGAATGTGTGACATGGACAACGCGTGTTACCACAGACAAGAAAGGGAGCTGAGGGGGGAAACACATGGGAAGACCGGGTGTTCCGATAAGGCTTCTTGAAAGAGGGGCCCCCCGAGGGCAGAGGCCACGCCTGAGGACAGCGGAGGACGAGTCATCTGTCCGGGTAAAGGCGGGTGGGAGGGAGCCCAGGAGAGGCAAGGTGGACGGTAACACCAGGCTGCCGCGCGTGCCTTCTGCAGGGACAGGAGCCTGACCTGGGGCGATGGGAAACGCGCGGGAGACGGAGGCCAGGCTGCTGTGGGAGCGCCGGAGGGTGCGAGGGGGAATGAGGGGGGTGCGGAGGGTGTGGAGGGTGCGAGGAGGGTGCAGAGGGAGCAAGGAGGGTGCACGGGACAAAGAGCAGACAGAGTGAAACACCCCGTGTGGACACCTTGCCAGGCTCAGGGCCAGGCACCAAGGTGGCAGCAACCTCGGGCAGCGGGGACAGCAGCTGGGGGGGCCTGAGGGTGACCCGGAGACCTCCAGGCGCACAAGTGGAGGAAGGTTCCAGATAGAAGGAGCCGGTGCAAAGGCGTGCAGGAAGGGCGGTTCACCTGTGACAGTTTAGCATCTCGGCGTTTGGTGGAGATGGACAGTTGCAGCCGAGGGCTCCGTGTGCCTTGCGGACAGCCGCCGACCCTGCCCAGTGCCATGGCAGCAGGCGAGGGGGAGCACTGACCTTTTCCAGCAGGTCCTCCGGGGCCGGGCCATCAAAGAGCTGGATTTTATCTTCAATGCACTTCCTCAGAAGGTCGGTCTTGCTTTTACTCTTGGCGCGCGGCTTCCTCGCCTTGGCCTGTGGCTGGAGAGGGGAGAGAAAGCACGCAGGCACATGCAGGCAGCCCGCCTCCCAAAGCCAGGCCCCGAGGGCCAAACAAGCTCGGGGGCTAGAGGGGACCAAGGTGAGGTCACGGTGCTCAGCAAATTGTGATTCGGTTAATGATCGAGGGTAGCAGATGCGACCATCTCTGAGCCTCACTTTGCACACCTGCAAAATGGGTATCTGCCTCATTAGATGACTGCAGGAACCTAACAACACTACATAACATAAAAACAGAAAGTCACACAAGACAGCATGCCACAATGCACCGCAGTATAACGTAACAGCACGACATAACACAACAGAATGTAACATAGCATAATGCAAGGACTGGACATGAGAACACAGCAAAACACAATCCAGCCCAGCACAGCCCAGCACAGCACGGCTGCGAGGCTCAGTACGGTACTCCCCAGTGACCACTGGTCTCCTTCCCCTCCCAGCTCGCCCCCCTACCCTTCCTCCTCCGTCACATCCCTGGAGGTCCCATGTCTCCTTCTCAGGATGCGGACACAGGCCTGCCCACCAGGCTCGGCCCTGAGCTCCCGAACAATCTCTCCGGCTGGCCACGGGATGGGGGCCCGTCCCCATCCCCTCCGAGGAAGAAGGCACAGACCCGGAAATTCACGGAGTTCAAAGCACCCCCATTTGACAGAGGAGGAGACTGAGGCCAGGAGAGCAGACTCGGTGGCCTCAAGCCACATCATGGGGGCCCTGAGATCTAGGTCTCAGGTTTCCTGACTCCTGAGCTCAACTCTTTAAATACTCAGGCTGGGCCCAGCTAATCCCATGAGTTAATTATAGTTTTCATTTCCTGATCTAACGGGGATGATACAAAAAAATAAGTAATTGTGGGTCAAGGCCTCTTAGGAACAGAGCCAGGCTGGTAGGCAAGACCTTGGAGCCCAGAGCCTGGATTGCGGTTGGGAGGGGATAAGGCTGAGAGGGGCAGGGGAAAGGTTCGATTCCGGTCAAGGGCATGTGCCTTGGTTGCAGGCATATGCCCAGTAGGGGGGGGGGGGGGGGGTGGGGGAGTGAGGGGAGTGGCGATCCTGTGCACCTCCCCAGCCCCACGCAGTGATGTCAAGCCCGCAGATTGAAACTGGCCTTAGAAGTATTTACACCAGGGAAATGGGCAGATGCTACAAAGCGGGACCACCCTCCCCTGCGTGTCCCTGAACTTCCGCTGAGCGCCGGTTCACCAGCATGTGCCTGAGACCGTGGCAGAGCCTACATCCCGGCAGAGAGCCACGGGAAGGCTTGAAGAAGGGGGGGGGGGATCTGACTTAAAGACGGCGAGGTCCTCAGGAATCATTTATTAATAAACAAAATGTACTGCACACCTGCCAGGCGACAGGCACTTTCTAGGTTCTAGGGTCATGGCCGCTGGTGGACAGTGCAAGGAGGCAGGCAAGGGGATCTGGGCTGGGCACCAGTGTGTCCACTACAGGCCTTGAGGTCAGGACCAGCTTGGTGGTTCCAGGAACAGCCGATGCCAACACAGCTGGAGAGGAGGATGGGGGCCAGTGAGGTGCGGTGAGGCCAGGGTGGGTGCTGGGGCCGGGACCCGCAGCATCAGCAGGAGATGCCCCACCTCTGCCATCAAGAGGCCACTGGCCAGCTGGCTCAGGTGGGTGGAGCATCGTCTCATGCACCAAAAGGCGGGTTCGATTCCTGGTCAGTGCACGTGGCTAGGTTACAGGTTTGATCCCTGGCCGGGGAGCGTACAGGAGGCAACCGATCGATGCTTCTCTTCCCTCCTCTCTCTCTTCCCCTCTCTCTAAAAAAAAATCAATGAACACTTCCTCCAGTGAAGATTAATAAAAACCAATCAACCAACATGTCCATCCTACCTGCAGCTCGGGGGCAGCCAGGGCCTGGTCCAGCTTCAGGAACTCTGCCTCCCGCCAGGCCGTGTGCAGCTGCTGCAGCAGGACGCGGGCCCGGATTCGGGGCAGGGCCAGGCTCCTGTCCATCTGAGCGAAGCAGCTGTGCACGTCCTGCCGTATCCGGAGCAGCTCCTCCTCGGACAGGGAGAAGGGGGAGCCGCAGAGCCTCCTGGGGGGCAGGGACAGGGTGTGGCTGGTGACATCCCCTCACACACGGACCGCGCATCTCTACCCACTCGTCATCGCGGGACCCCGATGCTTCCCTCCCTGGCCTTGTCGGTAACGGCGCTGTGAACTCCTGCCACCCAGAGGGTGTTATGTTCCATGAAATAAGTCAGACAGAGCAAAACAAATACTATGCAATTCCACCTATATGTGGAATCTAATAAAACAAACAAATAAAACAGAAACAAGCTCACAGACACAGAGAACAAACTGATGGTCACCAGACTGGATGGGGTGGGGCGCGGGTGAAAAAAGGGAAGGGAGTGAAGAAGGACAAATGACCAGTTATAGAAACAGTCACAGGGATGCAAAGTACAACTTGGGGAACACGGGCAATAATCCTATATAATAAAAGGCTAATATGCAAACTGACCGAACGCCGGAATGACCGGTCGCTATGACGCACACTGACCACCAGGGGGTAGACACTCAACACAGGAGCTGTCCCCTGGTGGTCCGTGCACTCCCACAGGGGGAGTGCTGCTCAGCCAGAAGCCGGACTCATGGCTGGCGAGCACAGTGGTGGTGGTGGGAGCCTCTCCTGCCTCTGTGGCAGTCGAACATCCTCTGAGGGCTTCTAGGCTGCGAGAGGGCACAGGCCGGGCTGAGCCTCGCACGCCCCCCACCACCCCAGTGCACAAATTTCGTGCACCAGGCCTCTACGTGTGCTGTCAGGTGGGGACTAGCCCTCTCGGGGCGGCCATTTCATAAGGGATATGAATAGCTAATCATCATGTGGGACACCTGAAACGACTATATCATACATCAAGTGGAATTGACAAATAAATTTTAAAAAATAGTTATACTTTTTACTTTAAAAAAGAACAGAAGTGTGTTCTCATCCATAGAAGATAGCAGGATTGTTCTGGGGGTGGGGAAGCTGAAGATTCAAAGGGCAAGAGTCACTAGTGAAATTCACGTCTGCAAAATGACATCAGGTCCTTCCTCACGTCTGCGCTCTGCACGGATTCCCTGAGCACCGCACGCCTGTCTGAGGGACGCGCCATCACACCGGGGCTGGGAACCCAGCGTCCAGTGTGCGAGGCCTGAGGCTGCCTGTGGAAGGGCAACCGGCTCCCAGCGCTCATGACCTGGCGGACAACGGACATGGGAGCAGGGGCTGCCCACTGCCCTGGCCAGCAGTTCCCTGCAAAGGGGATGAGGAGCCCACCTCCGCTCCGGTGGGCCAGGGACGGGGGTCCCCCGCCTGGGTCCTAAAGGCTGATGGTCATGCAGAGCAGTGGTTCTCAACCGTCCTAAGGCCGCGACCCTTTAATACAGTTCCTCATGTTGTGGTGACCCCCAATTTCATTGTTACAAGTTGAACATAATGAAAGCATAGTGATTAATCACAAAAACAATATGTAATTATCTATCTATCCCTGGGCTGTGAGTCATGTGACTTAGAAAGAGCTGTCCATCTCGCCTGTCCACCGCCAGAGATCGGGTGGCCAGCGTCCCGTCACCCCAGGGCGAGCCCCTCCCTCACCTGGCAGGACGGGACGGGATGGGACGCGGGGGCCGCCGGG